GGAAGGACGCATCGAAAATTTTGATGAATTGTCAAATGCTATTCAGGAAGAATGGGATACCCCAGGAATTTATAAGGAACTTGGTCGAGGCCAGGAGGGTTAACGAATTGTTACGGTTTAGGGGAGGGCCAACGAAATATTGAAAATTATTATTGTTATTGTTTGTTTTTCTGTTGAATGTTTTAGTTTTGATTATGATTATATCTTGAACATATAATAGATATTATCTTAAAAATAATAATAATAATAATAAAATTTTTCAAAATGAACAAACATATTTTTATTTAACTATTACCAATTAGGTAGGTACTTATCAGTGATAAGTTATCACTAGTGCGCAATGTAAATGTAAGTTATGTAACATTATTCTAACCACTCAAACAAATTGCAGTAATTTCGCCCAAAAAATGAATCCCTAAATGGCATTTTAATCATAAATGTGCAAGAAACACGCCAGCAATCTGATTTTATTAAGACATTTAACAGCCGGGAATTGTTTTCTAATTTTTATTCTTAGTGATTTTGGTTTTATCTGAAACTTATTTGACAACTGAATCACAATCAGGAGGTGAAAATTATAAAGAAAACACGTCACGAACATAAATATCGGTTCAGGTTTAGTTTTCGCAAATTTTCACCAAAATGTCATTTATCGACCTAGTAACTGACTATGAAAAAAACCACTCAGTTAAATTAAAAGTTTGAATAAAAAAATCTCATATGTAGTAATTTTACTACAAACTACAAAAAAATTTTCCTCAAAATGTAAGGTAAAATCATTTCATTAAACTACACTATACCCTATGAATAAGGTATAGGTAAGTACAAAAATAAACTAAAAGTTGAATTTTATTAATTGTACATAAACTGTCAAAACTTTATAGATTTCTTTCAAAAATACCTTGTTTTCTTCGTAGGACTCTACATCAGTGGCGGTGGGGGTGGTCCGCCCCGTGCCCCCGGTTCGGAAGGGCCCCCAAATCTTAAGTAGTCTTTCTCAGTCCAACAAAAAACTATCTAACATTTAGGGTTTTAAAACTTCCGGAAAAATTGAGCCGGCCAAAAAATTGTGAAATTTTTAGAAAAATTGATTTTGGATTTTTCTCATTTTATTCAAAGGGTAATAAGTCAATTTTACAAAAATTTACAAATTTTTACAGATATGTAGGTACTATCCGTACACTGATATCGAGAAAAAAAGTGAATTTCCGACGCTGAATATAATCATAATATCATTTTCTTAAATTAATTTAATTTAATTCAATGTTTAATTTTATTTTTTTTTATTAAATTAATGTTAAGTTGTTAATTGCTACTTTTTTCAAATGTATACATTTAAAAAAAAAACAAAATATAAAGTCAAAACTAAAAAAGATTTTGGTCTCGGGAGCCCCTAGCTGCAATCCATCAGGAATTAGAAAAAAGTTATAATTACATTTAATAATGGTTAATCTTAGACTGCCATAAGTGGGCCCCTTGATTTTTAAAATTAAAATTATTAACAAGTTCAAATATAAGTATACTTATAAGTTCGCTGGAAAAAGCTTGTAATCAATGTGTTGCGAAGGACTTGCTAAGAGGATCTACTAACAAATTTAAAATAACAAAACATTAATATTTACAAAACAATCACATTATTTCATAAGCAGACTAGGGGCCCCATTTTATTTTACCGCCTTGAGCCTCCGACGGGTTTAGTCCGCCACTGCTCTACATAGATAATTTGAAAATAGGCATATTTGGATGATTTTTATGCAAACTTAGTCAAAAGTAAACATTGCATTCTCATTTTTGTCTAAAAACTCTTTTTTCGGTATTTGGGCCCTTTTCCAATAAAATCATTAACTAGTTGGGCATTAAGAGTTATATTTGTCGGCGATGCAATTATGTTTAAATTGACACATTTTGTTCAATAAGGTGCTTTCCATAAATAATTCATTATTATTTTCTTTTTTTTAGTGGAATTTAATAGGTGCAACAAATGGATACAAATGATTTTTCTAAACTTAGTTTTATTATTTTTTAAGATGATTCTGGTTTTGAATAAGCATTTTCATCTAAATTCATGGATGCGTGTAGCGATTAGATATTAAATAACAAAAACCCACTTTTTGGTAATACCATACTACTTTAGGAGGACATAATATGTAATAATATAATATACCATATTATGGTATGAGGTAATAATATACCATATTAAGGTATAAGAAGTATATATTTTATTCCATGGGAGAACATTTAAATTAGTGACGTAGTCCAAGGGGCTGGAGTGCTTTATCCGATATTTTCACTGTGTTTTTTAATAAATTACTTAGTTAACATGAATTAATTACTTGTTTCTTTTATTTTAAAAAGCTTTAATTCAGGTTTTCATGTACCTATTTGTAATGCATAAAACAACCTACAAGTTTGCAACAGTGCAGTCCCTAAAAACTTGAAAGTTCTACCCTAGATTATAAATATAAATAAAATTTGACTAAAAAAAAATAATTCATACATATTTTTATTTTTAAAAATTTCCTCTTCTTTATTAACAAAAATTACCTCAAAACCTTTTAAAATAACAATTATTGTTCTTTCGTATATGAAATCTTATAAAATGTTTTAATAGAACAGAATTTTGCCCGAAGAGAAAAGTATTATACTGATTATCATAATTATAATACCGTTTACTTTAATTTATATTATTATTTGGAACAACTATCTTGTATATTGCCAGATACTATGCATATTTAGTACTTTTTAAATATCCTTTTATTTTAAACCTTTGGGTAAATTATTATTATTCTCAACCAATACTGTTTTTTTATTTTTATTAAAATTAGTTTTTTTCCATTACTAATAAGTATAGTACATTTATGTTGCCATTTTAAATATAAAATATTTTAAAATCGAATATTTTTATATCTTAACAATTAAAAATTGTAACATATTTATTTTACTTTTTAATATACAAAAATGTTATGAGAAATAATTGAACCTACACCTCGCCAAAGTTTTTTGTTTTGAGTGCGTTCCATCAACTTCAAATACCGACAGACAGGTGTTTTGACCTATATTGGGTATCATCAGTGTCTACTCGACACTGTCTAGCAACTTGTAGTAGTGGAACACACCCAAAACAAAGAAATACCTAAGCTTATATAATATGGTTGGTAAGCCAACAGAGGCGAGATGTAAGAACATCACGTGATCCACACCGTCTAACGACGCGTCGCGACATGGCCATTGCCGCAATCGGTACATACTATGCAACCAAGTAGGTTCAATACTTTCTTGTATTTCTAGTAATGGGTCAAGAAAGTTTATTGAAGAAACTAAGAAAATTGAATGTTTAAAATGTTATGAATAACTATATTGTATATTATATTTAAATATATTGTTTATTTACCTTAAACATAAAAGTATCTATATTTTTACTATATTTTTTTATTAATGTGTAATATATTATAATATTAGATGTACACCTTACATTTGATTAAATCATATAGTATATATTACTATTTGTAGATAGTAAAATCAATTTACTATACGATACGAACATATTAAAAATTAAAATATATATTATATATTATACATTTATGATTGAGTAATATTGGTGTAATCTTTAGTAAAATTTTATAATAAAAAATAGTATTTTGTATTACAATCTTAATATTGTATTGACGAATATATAATATGGTTACCCTAAAAATTTGTTAAAGTAAATTTTTCTATATTTTTTTTACTATCTAAAATTTACTATACATTTCTCTCCTTGTGTGGCAATAAATGGGTTATACCACTAAATATTAATTTATTTTTCCATAGTCCAAAGCAGCGGTTCTCAAACTGTGGTAAGCGTACAAGTGGTACGTGAGGCACCCAAAGGTGGTACGCGAATAGATAATAGATGTACTTGCCTTCAAATAAAATTATCGTTGGCTCAATTTTATTGAAAATCTATCATTTCCCATAATTAGTGCGATAAAATGAAGGTGTATTATCTAAAGACCCCCAGGAATTCCAGAAAATTTTATTGAAAATCTATCATTTCCCACAATTAGTGCGACAAAATGAAGGTGTATTATCTAAAGACCCCCAGGAATTCCAGAAAATTGTTTAAAAAATTCTTTCTTTATTATTTAATAAGATACAGGGGAGTCATATTTTCTTTATAAGGCAACATTGCCTCATAACAAAGTAATAGTTTAATTCTTAATCATCATGACAACACACAACAATGTTAGAAAATGTCAAATTTAAATGTCAAAATTTGTTACTTTAAGTTATAGGTTATTTATTTTACGTCAGACTGGATAGAAAAAAATACAGGGAGTCCCCTTCTCGTTTTAAAATCGCGACGAGTCATGCGTATTTTGTTTTGTTCTGACAAATTGTTGTTTTAATACTATAAAAATTGGTGCTGTTTCACGGTTATCAATATTTCTTATTAAACTACAAGTTCAATAAATACGTACACGCAGCACAACTTGTTTTATTTAGTTCGGTGGTACTCGATTAATCCACATTGCACATGAATGGTACGCGAAAAAAAAATTTGAGAACGGCTGGTCCAAAGTATTTTTTAAATATTTAACCTGTCATTTATTTTGAGACAAAGTTTATTAGAACTATATAATTTTGCATATCTCCAACTAAATAATTAATCCGGTCCTGAAGATTAAAATTAATTAACATCAAATTGTTATCTTGGTCTGGTTAGAATTATAGAAAAATATTTTTTAGAAAATAAGTTTTGATTTCTTAAAAATATTGTTCTATAATTCTAACCAGACCTAGATGACAATTTGAGATCTACGAGATAGTGTCACTAATAGTGTTGATCGTCAGCAGATCTGTCCAGTATGAAATTAAAATGAAAAAAACATAACATCCTTAATCTGGCCAATCCTAAGTTAAAGGCGGACTTTACGTCAAAACTGTTTCTTATTGGTTAAGATCCCAAGATGTATTAAGAGTAAGAAAATAATACAATGCGCTGCATCCTTTAAGAGAAACAGAAACAGAACATCGTGCGTGAGTCAGTCGCGCTAAGGCAAATGTGTGCTATATGAAACGGTATTCCAAGCTTTGAAAGCATTCTTTGATCTGTGTTAGAGAAGAAGGTGTCAGAGCGTATATCGCTTTAAAAGACTTCATTGTTTTATAGTTTGGCAGTCAGGTGGTCGATTCCCATTCATAAATCCGAACTTTATTTCCACCGTGATCTTTAAGTGTTTTGTGATCTTTGTACAATAATGTTATCATCAAATACTATGTCTCGATCTTCGGCATTCAAAATTACTTCGTCTGCGGCGGCCAGTGTGGCTGCAAGTGCAGCGTCCGTTTTGCAAGAACAAAAGTTGGCAAACAGTAGTGGTGTTACCCCTGTTGGACAACAATTGGACAAAAGTGAAATTAACGATGCTGTTACTAAAGTTCTGCAAGGCTACGACTGGACTCTTGTGCCCATTGCATCAAAGTAAGTACTTATTAGACGGTCTAATTTAGACCGTAATCCTAACATATGGAAGAATTAAAAACTTATAGTTCCATAGCAATTCTACCTAAGAAATTTAATGTAATGATATATACTATAATGGGTATTTAAAGAAATTTGTTTTTAAAAAGCCTTGAAGCAAATATTCATAAGTTATTTCGTCTGGAGTGTCTTGAGTATTTTTTTTATTTTAAGCATTCGGGGCATAAATACTGTTTTTTATTTTTTTACAATAATTTACGGTTAAATAAGGTTAAATGATTGCTAGCGACAATTTGGATAGGTTGGATATATTGAGTAAAGTAATAATTTAAATTGAAAAGTATCATATAATTTCTTAATAATTGCAGAAAATTGAAATATAATGGTAAACAAATGTTTAACAATGCCTGTTTGTAAACACTCTTTAGGATGTTTAGGTAGGCACCTGTGATAAGTATATATTTTTGAGATTTTATATTATATTTATATTCTTAACTTAAAACAACAAGACAATGGGATTAAATATTAATTTATAATTGACTTTTAACAAGTCAAATACGTAGGTTTGTTGTTCAACTCTGACATTTTAAAATACGACAATATGGTTTTTTGTAATGTATTTTCACATGAATTACATATATGTGAATAAACCGAATTTTTCTTCTGAATAACTACAACTAACCGCATTTTCTCATTGGGAAATACGTTTATTTTATTTTTTTAAAATCATATAGGCTGATTTCTAGATATATTTGTAATTTTTATTAAAGGGTGATTTATGCAAATTATGAATTTTTTAAAATTTCTTGAAAATTATTGTGATTTTTTTAATTTTTTCTTAAGGTAATATTCCTATAATTTTGAAACCCCCTTAAGTCCCCATAAAGTACCTAGGTACACCTTTTTTGGGATGTCAGATCTCTCTCCCCCTATGTCAGAAATTATTATGTTACAAAATGTAAATAAGTCGTGACACCTTTCCTAATCATAAATTTTTAAAATTTGGCTTAGAGCACAAATTTAGCTTAAAATATATCTAGATCCCTATACCACACATATACCTACAATCAAGGCCGTTGAAAAAGGTTTCGGAGGGGGATTGGTTAACAAAAAACGGGTGCAACAAACAACGGTTTCAGTATACAATTCAGGGCCGGTTGAAGTTGCACTTAGTTATCTGCTAGATAATTTTCATTGATACCATTAAGAACAATTGTTCTCACAAAGATCGATATGGAATTTTACTGACAGATAGACTAACTGGAACCTAACCAGAGATTGATAAACCGGCCTTAATTCAACTAAATAAATATGGTGGACCAAAAGGAACATTTAATAATTTTAGAATCTATAAAAAACTTTAAAATAATATTAATTGTCTTAATAAGCTCAACAATTTTAGAAATAAAAGGTCCGCCCCGGGCCCCCGGTCCAGAAGGGCCACGAAATCTTAAGTAGTCTTTCTTAGTCCAACAAAAAACTATCTAAAATTTAGTGTTTTAAAATTTCCGGAAAAATTGATCCGGCGGAAAAAAACTGTTTTTTTACCGGAAAAAAAATGGTGAAATTTTCAGAAAAATTTAAATTTTTTTATAGATATGTAGGTACGCTGAATAATATCATTTTCTTAAATCAATTTAATTTAATTCAATGTTTAGTTTTATTTTTTTTTTTAATTAAATTAATGTTGTTGATTGCTACTTTTTTCAAATGTAGGTACCTACATATATTTTTCAAAAAAAAAATCAATTTTTCCCAAAGACATTTTTTTCAGGCCTGGTTTTTTTCCCCCGACGGGTTTAGTCCGCCACTGATATATTAATTTAAAAAAAATCATTTTTAATAAACTAAAAAACATATCGAATAAATGTAGTAATTATCTATTATGGAATAACTTATAAGTTATATTAATAATATATATAATATATCTCTTTTAGTCTGTATTTCTAAAGAGATATAATAAAAAGACATAATTTAATATAGGGATACCTATCTATTGTTTAATGTTAATATTTTTTTAAAGATAATAATGTTTTTTTATATATATTTACCTTTTGTTTATTAATCGCAATCGTAGAAATGTAGAATCGTAACCGTTATCTTAATCGTATTTCAATAATCGTTGCATATGATATCACTAGTGTTAATATTTTTCTAAAATAGCTATTTTTTGTCATTTTATTCAAAGAGTAATACGAAAAAATGCAAAAGTCAATTTTTCTAAAAATTTACATGTTTTTACAGATATGTAGGTACGCTGAATAATATCATTTTCTTAAATCAACTTAATTTAATTCAATGTTTAGTTTTATTTTTTTTTTAATTAAATTAATGTTGTTGATTGCTACTTTTTAAAAAAGTAGCAATCAGACCGGCCCGGGAAATTCAGAAAAATCGGCCAACTACACACGAAAAATGGGGGGTGAACAAAACCAAGTTAAAAAATTTCAAACATTTATTAATATATTAATAATAATAACATAAAGTATAAATTAAATTCTTGAAAAAAAAACAGGCAACAAACACAACCAGATAATATTTTATACAATGCTAAAACATATATATATATATATAGCTATAGCATTGCACTTAAAATAATAACTAATATATAATATATAATGTATACAAATTATCATGTATACAAATTATCATCGCTCAGGAAACTTATAAACAATATACAATGCATGCAAATAATTATGATTTTTATACATAACTCAACTAAAAAAGTTTTTAATTGGCATGCTGCCTACATAGCCCTCCGGCACACCGGCCCACTTAGCCCTCCGGACCACCGGCCCACTGGGATTTCTCCCGATGTCCCGGCGGCCCAGCACGCCCCTGAATGTACATATATTTAAAAAAAAAAATCAATTTTTCCCAAAGACATTTTTTTCAGGCCTGGTTTTTTCCCCCCGACGGGTTTAGTCTGCCACTGATATATTAATTTTAAAAAAATCATTTTTAATAAACTAACGAACATATCGAATATATATATCGAATGTAGTAATTATCTATTATGGAATAACTTATAAGTTATATTATATCTCTTTTAGTCTGTATTTCTATAGAAATACAGACTAAAAGAGATATAATAAAAAGACATAATTTAATATAGGGATACCTATTTATTGTTTAATGTTAATATTTTTTTAAAGATAATAATGTTTTTTATATATATTTACCTTTTGTTTATTAATCGTAGAAATGTAGAATCGTAACCGTTATCTTAATCGTATTTCAATAATCGTTGCATATGATATGATATCACTAGTGTTAATATTTTTCTTAAATAACTATTTTTTGTTAATGTGCTTAAAACATCGGTTTCATTTATAATAACCATGCTAACTATTTTTATAAATTGAAATAAACCTCAAAAAGCTTTTACAAATTCTAAATCCATGTTTAATTGAATTATCATATAAAACTAATTAAAATGAGCTGAAAAAAATCAAATTTGTGGTATTGTAAAAGTACCAACTTAATCTTAATTACTTAAGGAATTTTTTATTTTAAAATTTAATTTTAGGTTAATTTTAAAACAAATAAAATAAGTTTAGTTTATCATCATACAAATAATAATAATAATAATCTTAAAAATTTAGCGATGGCGTGCTTTTATACCTTCTCCGAGAAGGCTTCTCGAGAGGTAAAAAGAACTGGATTGCAAGTGTTAGGAAGGAAACAGAGTGTTTATGTTTCACATGATTTTATTTAATATTTATTTAAGTTATATCGGTTTCGGTTTCATAAAATATTGTTTTAAGTAAGATATTCTTGCCGGTTAATCTTAAGCATATATTGAAAGTGTAAATAAAATTAAATGTTTTAAATAAATTTTAATATTTGACAAATAAACAATCCTACGATAACACATAAAATTAAAATGGTTAGTAAATTGTTTAATTAATTAAGAAAAAAGTTTACTATAATGGATTGTGCTTTAATATTAAAACCATGGTTTTAATATTAAAGTCCCTAATTGTAGTTACATACTATACCATACACTATACTATCAATTAAGAAGTATTTAAGAAGTATTAATGTTTATTATAATTAATATTGTATCTACTTTTATATTAGGAATGCATCTATATCTATCAGGGGCGTGCTGACTGAATCAATGCAGGCCTGGACTTGATGGTAGAGCAGTCCAGGCCCAAGCCAATTTTATATAAATTGTAAAAATACATCACAATTAAATACCTCGACTGATAAAACGTCCCGTGATAACTCTCTTCGCAACAAAGAACTGTTTTCAGCTAGTTCAATTATTAAGTCACAATCTAAACCATTTTGCACCTTTCTCTCCACAGCAATCAGCATAAAAGCTTCCAAATTTACGTCACTTTACACTAATATTAAAGGAAAGTATTATCACAAATAAATCAAGACAAAAACTGCGAGAGGGGGCTTTTTTGGATGCTTTTGTAATTATGTTTCTGCACGGAGAGAAAAATTTTGCTAAAATAACTATCCAAAGTATTGTTAAATGACGTATCGTGAATTTAGTCAACTGTTTTATTAAACTGAGGATTTGTATGGCTAAATTAGCTATACAGATCCTCAGTGTAATAAAACAGTTGACTAAATTCACGATACGTCATTTAACAATACTTTGGATAGTTATTTTGGCAAAATTTTTCTCTCCGTGTGTTACTCTATAAATCCGAGCTGATCTCCCCTTCCGATAATTTTTAAATTGACTAAAATTGCATTTTATCGAAGTGGCTCCGGATCAGTTTGGATTTTCAAAGAAATGAAAAAAAAAATTACGAAAGCATCCAAAATATTCCCACGGTTTAGGGTTTCCACCTGCGACTTCTTGGTTAAGGGTTAGCATAAAAATACGTGTTTTAGATTTTTTTACGGGAGTCAATTAAAACTTTCTTTTTTTTAATTTATTTTAGTGTTTAGTGATATAACTTGAAAAAACTTTTTGTTTGGTATAAAAATCTTTTTTCTATTTGCATACCATAACAAGTCCAGCAGACCACCAT